CGCCCCACCTCAAGGCGTGATAAACGTAATACATGGGTATTCAAAACCTGAGCGAGTATGTGAGCTCAGGGGAATGATAAAGAAGGCTGAGCACCTAAGGGAAGTATTAAGTGCGCAGCCTACCATTAAAAAGGAAAAAACAGAGGCCACGAACGTTATGTCTTTTCAGACAAAAACTTGGCAAGGATATATTGCCCTCACAATGATGCACTGGTCGTCACTCTCCGCGTCAAGGATTACGACGTTAAGCGAATTTTAATTGACTAAGGGAGCTTATGTGAAATAATGTATTACGAAACCTTCAAACAATTGAAACTGGAAGACAAAGACTTGGCACATGCCGTATCCCCCCTGATTGGATTCAACTCAATGCCAGAGTGGCCAGTCGGCAAGATTATCCTCCCAGTCAAAGCAAGAAGCATGACAAAACAAGTGGAATTCTGGGTATTGAAATTCCCTTCCACTTACAACATAATCTTGGGGAGGACATGGCTGCACGCCATGCGATCGGTAGCGTCAACCTACCATCAAGTAATGCGGTTTCCCAACGAAGCCGGAGTAATTGAAGAGGTCTATGGAGACCAAATTATGTCCAAGCAATGCTTCGTCATAGTAAATGGCAGCCAAGCTGCCAAAGGGTTTGTTCAGATGGTGAAAGAACCTGAGTGTAATGAAATGTTTGCGGATGTTGGCAAAGCCGCTGAACAAAAGACAATGGAAGACTTGGTACAGATAAGAATAGATGAAAAGGACCCGGAAAAGTTCTTTTTGCTTGGCTCATCTATGTCCAACACTGAGAGAATAGAGGTCATGGAATTCTTGACCTCTAACATCGAAGTGTTCACATGGACGCCGTATGACATGCCTGGCATCGACCCAAACTTCATCTGTCACCAATTGAACGTCCATCCAACTGCAAGACCAATCATACAGCGCACTCGCAGATCGACACTCTACCATGCCGAGATAGTGATGGAAGAAGTAGAAAACCTGCTAGAAGCAGGAGCTATCAGAGAGGTGCAGTACCCCAGATGGATCTCCAATACAGTAGTGGTACCTAAGAAGAATGAAAAATGGCGTGTCTGTGTGGACTACAAAACGATCAACAAGGCATGCCCAAAAGACAGCTTTCCTCTTCCACGGATAGACCAACTGGTAAATCTGACGGCATGACACAACCGTCTTAGCTTTCTTGATGCGTACAGAGGGTACCATCAGATCGCCATGTATAAGCCAGACCAGGAGGTTACATCTTTTACAACGCCGAGAGGACTATATTGTTACAAGGTCATGCCCTTTGGCCTTAAGAACGCTGGGGCAACATTCCAACGGATGGTCACCAAGATGTTCGAACTATTGTTAGGCCGAACAATGGAAGCTTACATTGATGACATGGTGGTTAAGAGCAACGATAAGAATGGCCATCTCAGGGACCTAGGTGAGATGTTTCAGATCCTGAAAAAGCACAAGCTACGCCTTAATGCATCCAAGTGTGCATTAGGCGTAGGATCTGGCAAGTTCCTAGGCTTCCTGGTGACCAACCGAGGTATAGAGGCAGACCCTTCTCAGATCAAAGAAATTCAAGATCTAGAGAGGCCCAACTCAGTAAAAGAAGTACAGCATCTCACCGGTATGGCAGCCGCGCTCAACCGGTTCATCAGTCGGTCGTCAGACAGATGTCGACCATTTTTTCAAGCATTAAAGGCCAAGTTTGAATGGGATGAAGAATGCGACCGCGCCCTAGAAAGTTTGAAAGAATTCATGTCTTCTTCGCCGTTACTAATGACCCCAATATCTGGAGAAGAACTATTTCTGTACCTAGCCGTTTCACAGCACGCAATCAGCGCAGTATTGGTCTGACCAGAAGGAATCCAACATCTGCCCATCTTTTATGTCAGCAAGACATTGCTGGGCGCGAAAACTAGGTACTTACCATTGGAAAAATTGGCCTTAGCCTTGATGATGGCATCAAGAAAATTGTCGCATTACTTTCACACCCACACAATAACCGTCCTCACAGCTTTTCTATTAAAAGCTTTGTTTGAGAGGGCAAACTTTTCTAGACGAGTCTTGAAGTAGGCAGTCAAGTTGGGACAGTTCGACATCAAGTTCCAACCCAGAACCACGATAAAAGCCCAAGCCTTGGCAGACTTTGTCGCAGAATTCACCCTAGGAAGTCATCATATCTACCCAGTCGACTTGACTGATACAACCGAACTAGGGTTGGAAGTTGACACCAGAATAGCGCAACCCCTGGTGCAGGATACCCAGTCAGACCTTATGGTAGACCAGAATAAAGTAAGGGAGGAAGAAGCAAACCATGCTACACCAAGTCAAGACTCACTAACAAATAAAGACTTAGTACAATTAGATAGCGAGGGGCAAAAAGCAAGCATGGACCTTGAAGAAAATACCAGCAACACTCTTGATCCTAAGGCATCATCTGATCCCTCCACTTGCTGGAAACTGTTAGTTGGAGAGATATGAAAGCTCTTCGTGGATGGAGCGAGCGTCCAACAGGCACGGTGCAGGACTAGGTATAGTCCTCATCTCACCAGATGGCCTAGTGGTGGAGCAAGCAGTCAACCTTGGCTTCCCAGCATCAAACAACGAAGCGGAATATGAAGCGCTTCTGGCAGGCTAAAAATCAGCATCCTACATGAAGGCCACCGAGCTAATGGTTTACAGTGACTCACAGCTGGTGGTAAACCAAATTTCAGGTGACTACGAGACAAAGGACGACAGGATGGCTAAGTACCAAGAGTTAGTAAAAAAAGAGATCAAGAAATTTGAAGTAGTACGGATAGAGCAGATCGGTAGGGAAGAAAACAGTAGAGCAGACGAACTAGCAGGCTTTGCTTCAATGGCAGATACCACCATCCCTCATCCATTGCTGATTAACTACCTACCAAGACCAAGCATTGAAGAACCCGAAGTAGAAGAGGTATATTATGCCGAACTAGGCCCTTCGTGGATGGATCCTATCATACTGTTCCTAAAAGACGGCGTCTTACCGGAAGAAAAGAAAGTGGCCAACAAAATAAGAGCAAAGTCACAGCGCTTTTGGCTCTTCCCATCAATGGCATTGTACAAGAAATCCTTCACACGACCTTACCTAAAGTGTGTCCACCTCAACAAAATGGAAGCATTCTTGTTCGAAATTCATGAAGGCGTATGCGAAAGCCATCAAGGAGGAAGATCATTGGCCTACAGAGCAATTTCGCAAGGATATTGGTGGCCATACATGCAAGTGGATTCAGAGAAGTATGTCAAGAAGTGCGAGAAATGTCAGAAGTTCGCACACCAAATACATCAGCCAGCCAGAGAGCTTCTACCTTTAACTAGTACATGGCCTTTCGCAATGTGGGGCTTGGACATAGTAGGACCACTTCCGACAGCACCCGACAATAGAAAGTTCTTTCTCGCAGCAACAAACTACTTCACAAAGTAGGTGGAAGCAGAAGCACTAGCATCAATAAATGAGAAAGATGTGAAGAAGTTCGTCTGGCAAAATATTATCACTCGGTTCGGCATACCCAAAGCGCTAATATCAGACAACGACACTCAGTTCGACGGCAAAATCTTTAGAGGCTTTTGTGAAGAGTACAAGATAGAATTCTACAACTCTACACCGGCATACCCCCAAGCAAATGGCCAAGCAGAAGCATCAAACAAAGTTGTCTTGGATGGATTGAAGAAAAGGTTAGAGAAAGCAAAAGGAAAGTGGGCTGAAGAGCTTCCTCATATTTTATGGGCTTACCGTACCACACCTCGGCGATCAACCGAAGAAACGCCATTCTCTTTAGTCTACAGCATGGAGGCAGTAATCTCACTAGAAATCGGCCTCCCCACAATTAGAAGCGAAAATTTCGATCTAGACTTAAATGGGGAAACCATAGCCTTGGAACTCGACCTTGCGGAAGAAAGAAGAGAAAGAGCACTGGTTCACATTGCCTCATACCAGCAAGAGTTATCTAGAAAATACAACAAGACAGTACATCCAAGGCAATTCAAGGTTGGAGATTGAGTACTGCGCAAAGTAATGAGAAACACCCTGGTACCCGGAGATGGCAAGTTAAGGCCCAATTGGGAAGGACCTTACAAAGTGGTTGGATTAGCTGGTAAAGGGGCATACCACTTAGAAGACGAGGACGACAAAGCCATTCCCAGGCCATGGAACACTGCCAATCTTAAACTATTTTATTTTTAGCTTTTCTTTCAAGTGTTTGTAATTTTTTCTTTCTCAATAAAACAAGTAGTTTCTTTTCAGTAAAGTTGTTTCCTTCTGTAAAAGATTGTTTTGGTGAGTTAGGAGCACTGTAAGCATAGTTGGACGGAATAACCAACTTTGCACTCTCTTCAGTTAAGATTAGGATCGGTGCTGAAGAAGTTGGTTGGAATAACCAACACCCCTCCTAAGCCCAGGATAAGGATCTAGGCTGCAGGACGTTTGGTCGGAATAACCAAACACTTTACTCTAGGTTGGCAAGAAAAACCAACCTAGAGGTTGGTTGGAAAAACCAACACCCTTCCTAAGCCCAGGATAAGGATCCAGGCTGCAGGATGTTTGGTCGGAATAATCAAACACTTTACTCTAGGTTGGCAGGAATAACCAACTTAAAGGTTGGCTGGAAAAACCAACATCCCTCCTAAGCTCAAGATAAGATCTAGGCTGTAGGACGTTTGGTCGAAATAACCAAACACTTTACTCTAGGTTGGCAGGAACAACCAACTTAGAGGTTGGATGGAAAAACCAACACTTAGTACTCTTCAGCCGAAGTAAGGATCTAGACTGAAGAGTGGTTGGCTGGAAAAACCAACACTTAGTACTCTTCAGCCGAAGTAAGGATCTAGGTTGAAGAGGTTGGCTGGAAAAACCAACACTTAGTACTCTTAGTCGAAGTAAGGATCTAGGCTGAAGAGTGGTTGGCTGAAAAAACCAACGCTTATTGTTCTTTAGCCGAGATAAGGATCAAGGCTAAAGAGGTCGGCAGGTATGGCCAGTCAGATTGTAAAGTTATGACCAGGATAAGGTATCTCAGCCTGAGAATATTATACTTCATTTAGATTACAGTTAGAAAGTTACATGCATGACAGTTAACCGAAATAACAGTTGGAACAAAAGAGATTTCATTGATAATGCAAAGACGAAGTACAAAAGGTGGGGCCATAGCTCGGTTATAAAAACTCCTAAAGTTAGCATCTAAAAAAAGAAGAAAATACAGAGTCAAGCAAACAGATCGTCAAGATTAGCATCCAGTTCGACTCGGAGCCCGGTTTCAATTGGTAGCTCGGTTGTCAGGTCCTCCACCGGTGGTTCCCCCGAGCTGACTGGATAACAGGATCATTGATGACTGGGGCATTATTAGGCACGGCCTCTTCATCATCATCCTCAGATTCAAGGAATTTTTGTTGAATGGCGGCTGCATACTCTGCCATACAGCTCGGTATGAAGTACGATGAAGGGTTTTCTTCTCGGTATGAAGTACGATGAAGGGTTCAAGAAAACCTTAGTCTCTGGACCGTGACCGAGCTGTTCCACCGCCGCCTTCCACCCGCACTTAAAAAATAGATCCTTGGCAGCTTTGCACTGCAGAATGTAGGTTGTTTCACATTCTTTGAAGCCACGGTCTTCTGCATCACCAATCTTCTTCTCAAGGTCAGTTATCTCGGCCGTCTTCTTCTCTTCAATGGTGGCAAGCTCACGCAGGTAATAGTCTTTCAGCTCAGTCAAAGCTTTTTGCTTCTCCACTTCAGCTGTGTTAACTACACCGGTGAGGCGTGCGACCTCAAATTCAAGCTCAACCATTTTCTGTTTGGCCTCGTTTAGCTCGGCCGTCTTCTGTTCAGCCTCTGCCAAGGCTTGCCTTGTTGTCTTGCGTAGCTCTAGCACACGCTTATGAGCAATCTGGTTCTTCTGCATGGCCTGCATAAATATAGTAAGCAAATTGAAGTAAAAACCGAGCTAATAGTTGCACACAAAAAAAAAAGGAAGATAAAGGAAAGAATACTCACTAGCACCATTGATTTTGTGGCCGAACGGATAGCTTTTAGCTCGGTTAGGTGGGCATGATGATCCATATCAGGGGGCAGACACACGCTCTTAGCCAGATTGAAGTCCAGCATGTGATCTTTGTCAGCCACCACTGAATCTGTGTCTCGGATGGCTCAGTTCTGGTACGATAATTTCGGTGCCCAATCAGAAGAGTTAGCTCGGTTCGAGCTCTTAGGTTGTGGGCTTAGAATTGTGGTTAGAGGAAGCACGATTTCATCCTCATCGACAAGGCGTGGCTCGGGTGAAGAAATCCGAGTACGCTTACTTGGCCGAGATGTTGAAGGCTGATAGGTTGGCAGGGCTACCACGGCCTCTTGTGTTTGGCCGGTCGATGGTACCTCGAGCTGGTTTGTTTCAGTCAAAAGGGCTCTTATGACTCTCTTCTTGGTCATTTCTTGTTCAGCAGTTAGTCGGATTAGGTTGATTTCAGGCAAGGATAGGTCCGGTTCAAGAGAGGCTTCCAACAAAAAATCAGTTACCCTGGTCTTCCATTTACTACTGTGTCTATACGTCGGTTCAAATTCTAGTAGCTCGGCCTAACTTCTATTGGGATATCGCAGCGCGGTGCGAAGTATGTTTAAGTTGGGGTAACTGTACTGGGACTTGAGAAAGTTCATATCTGCAAGAAGTAAAAAAAGACAACAGTCAGTGCGGTTCAGTTTATGAAAACCGAGGTAAAAGAAAGCATAAAACTAAGCCAAGGTAATTGTACCGGCAACTCCTTTGTCCCAGTTTATTCGGTCGCCTGGGATTTGGGCCTTATGATCTTCAAAATTCCCAAAAACCGAGAAAAAATCGTCGTTGTTAACATCCTTATCCGGGGTATCTTTTATTATCTTTTCACGATGGCGCCTTATTCTTAAATAGTAAACCCACCCGTCCTCATTTGATTCTATGGAGTATTGGTGAAAGAGCTCGGCTAAACCGAGGTTAAGGCCAGCCCGACGGTTTAGCTCGGCAATGCTATTTATTATACGGTATGAATTTGTGGAAAGTTGGGTTGGGCAAAGGTTGGTTTGTTTGAGGAACTCGCAAATGAGGGGCTGTATAGGGAATCTTAGTCCGGTTTCTATAATGGAAAGAAGTGCAAAGAGAATAAAGCCAGGGTTTCCCCAAGGTACGGTATCTAGTTCGGCTGGAGTGAGATGAACATCATTAGGGATATGGTAGTCCCTTCGGAACTCGGCCATAACACCTGGTGAGTTCACTAAAAACCTATATTTACCCATAAGGATTTAAATTATGTATAAATTACCCTGCAGTATTAGCTCGGCGCCAAGTAGATAGAGGGTATCTCAGTTGGACGTGCAAAGGAGTGCTTGGGCAACCTAGTCAGAGTCTGCAAAGTGAAAAAGAAAGGTGTTAAGCACAGATCGTGGGACTGTGCTACAAGTAATATAGGCAAGATAAATGAAGTTTTAGCTCGGTTACATGGAATGCTATCTAGTCTTAGCTCGGTTTAAGCAAGGGGCTTCAGCCTGGTCGAGCCATCGGGGTAGCATTCTTAGTTCAGTTTGAACTAAGGGAGCTGGTTTAGCCCCAAGATTTAGCTCGGTCTGTGATTGAGGCTTTCTAGCTTAGTATTGCGCAAACCTAGTACGGTGCGATAGCTCGGTTAAAAGAAACAAAAGGTCCCCAACTTATGGAAACCGCAAGTATGGCATAAGTTTTAGTGCGGTTGTTGGTTGTGGCTAGGCTTGCATATAATACAAACAGTATCCTAGTTCGGTTGATGTGTTATTTTGGATCAGATACATCGTTCTTCAGTTTATTCCTAAGTACTAGTGGTTATATTACAAAGGTTTTTCCAGAAAATGGAACGTATGCTTTGAAAAACATAAACATGCTTTATGTTAAGAGGTGCGAAATCAATAGAAAGGAAGGAGATTCGAATCACTTACTAGTTCAAAGGTGACGACACTGAAGATGGAGGTAGTATCAGCAAGAACACGAGCTCCACAGTTGCAAGAGAATAAGGGAGAAGAAGTTCGAAGAGAGAGAAAGTAATGAATAGTGGAGTGATAGATTCAAAACGAAGGATTTGTTTTGTGTAGAGGGAAGGACAAAAAGGCGGGACTGTTAAAAAAACGCGGAGTACGAAGACGGCGTGACAACTGCATTTGGCTAATGAGTCTGCCATGTGTCCTTGGAATAGAAATCGATTCAGTTGGAGACTGAAGAGACATTGTGACTGGACAGATTGATAGCATAATGTAAATTTGACTCGGTTAGAAAGCTAAGGTTTTTTAGCTCGGTTAGAAGGCTAAGGTTTTTAGCTTGGTTGGAAGGCTAAAGCTTTTTTTAGCTCGGCCAGTAACAGGTAATCCCTATCATGCTGCGCAGATGGAATTAAGGGCAATTGAGAGGGTAATTTATGAGTAAATTGGGCCGAACTAGGTAATGGGCCGTTCTATGGGCCATAATAAGGAGGGCTTAGTAAGTGGACCGAAGTCCAGGTGTTAGCTTGGTCCAGGTATGGAAGTGACCTAGTAAGGGTTAGCTCGGTCCAAGAGAGCTCTATCGTTAGCTCAGTCACCACACTCAGAGTGGTAACAGTTAGCTCAGTCATACCATATTGAGCCGAAATATGTTAAACTTTCCTCAGAACCTTGCTATTGGTTAGCTCGGTCTAAGCTCGTTGTGGTTAGTGCAGTCTCGGACAACCCAGTTGGAATATGTCAAACCGAGGTATACGCAGTGAAAGGAAGAACCGAGCTAGTGGGAGCTCGGTCTAGTCTGCGGTTTTAGCATGGCTATGTTATCTCGGTTGTATTGACATCCAACCATGGTAAAACCATCTCACTTAGTTTAAGCAGTGAGGGGGGTGTTGAAGGATAAGCATTATCTTTCAGGAATGTGATTCCTAGGAGGACTCTACATGGAGGAGTAAGAGTCCTACTAGGATTGTGCCACACGGAACCTATAAAAGCTCATAACATCACCTATGGAGAGGTAACACAACTTTGATTCTCGAATACACAGAACTTTGTCTATTTGTCTATTTTGCTGACTTAGGCATCGGAGAGGTATCCGACACACACCCGCCGGCTAGCTCATGTTTGTGTTTTCAGGGAGTAAAGCGACGACATTTGGAGGAGCACGGACTCGATCAATAGGATTATACGAGAAGAATATATATAATGAATAAGATATATGTGTTGGATAATATATCCCCTAATTTATGTTTGTTAACTTGATATATAAGACTGGATATATATTATATACAATCCCATAGTATTATATCCTCTTCAAAAAAAATTACAAACATGGGATATGTGAACCTTACAACATATAATATCCAATCCCATCATTTGTATCCTGGAATCAAAGAGGGCCTTAATGCTTATTCTAGACATGCCACATAAAATTTATCTGTGAAAGGCGGTATAAGTGTTTTATATAATGAAATATGATAGAAAAACCCCTCTCTCTCTCTCTCTCTCTCTCTCTCTCTCTCTCTCTCTCTCTCTCTCTCTCTTTTCCTTAAACAATATTTATTAGATTAAGGGAACTCTGGCTTTGGAGAAATCTTGGTTATATTTTACATTTCAATAATTTTAAAATATTATGTGATATTATTTATGTAATGTTCCAAACGAATCATATAAAAAAAAATACTACAAGTGAAATTTGCTGACTTACTTTATTAGATGATTAAGAGACAAAAAGTGATCAACTTTCATATTTATTGTAAATTTTTCCTTCATAAAATACCACATAGAAAATGTACTCTCAAAATATTAAAGTAAGAAAATATATATGAAAAAATTGCTAATCGCTATCTTGCCATGTTTTTTGGGTTTGGTTATGATTCTCATGATTGTTGACAATATCATGTTCGGAGAGAAAAATTGTTCACACAAGGTGAACAATACGCGCCATCTCATTAGCTGAACCAATGAGGTGTTCCCACCAAAAGTAAATTACAAAATGAACCAATGAGATGGTATATTGTTCACTTCTGTAAGCAAATTTGCAGTCACATGCTCACTAAAACCAGCCATACTGAGCATATCACTATGGGAGAGAGGTCTTAGGCCCAACCCAAGAAGTCTCTTGTCGTACCCTCATTGTCACCGCCACCGCCACTGCCACTGTCACCTTTATACCCAACAAACCCACTTGCAGAAGAGAGAGAAGCCATCATTTCTTGAAAAAGAGAAGAAGGAGGTGCACCTGCAGTTGCAGCAGGTGATAAATTCCCAAAAGGAGATGGAGAACAAGCATTAGTAGTAGTGGTAGTAGTAGCGCTCATTGTTGCACCTATCTGAGCAGCTTTTTGCAGCAATGCAGTTGCAGATATGTGTGGAGAAGGAGAAGAAGAAGAAGAGAGTGTTTGATGGTAGGGTTGAAGAAGAAAGGTGGGTCCCAAATTAGGGTTAGGGCTTGGGTTCTCATCATCATGGAGTATTCTTGCTAACTCTTGATCTTGATCTAGCCATGGAAATGAATGGAGGTCATGGCTATGGAGTTGGGGTTGAAGAAGGTTGTGGTTGTTATTGTTGTTTATATGTGATTGTGATGTTGGTGAAGGAGAAGTGGGAAGTTCAGAGGAGGAGAGAAATGGGGTTGATGTAATTCCTCTTGCAGTCTCCTTTGTCAAAGCATCACAGAATGCTCTGTGAGTTATGAAACTGTCCCTCCTGAAACCCAAAACAGAAAAACACAAAACAAAAAATCATACACAAGAAAACAAAAGCAATACCATCATAAAGTACTGTTACAAAGCACAGGTATTTTTTCCCTCTGTTATTGAATTGTTTACCATCAGCTAATCTAAAGCTCAAACTATTAGACTGAGAGACAACTTTATTATTTATATTATATTCTTAACCTGCACCCTCATGTGCGGACAGGTAGGTAGTGAGGTTTGAACATAGAATCTATTGCCTAATCCACTCTGATACCATTTTGAATTCTTTTTCCCCTTTGGGCTCCATCTTTGTTTCAGAAAAAATGCTATAAGTTCTAAATTTTTTACTAGATAAATAACCAAATGTCTCACATAATAAGTTCATTTAGTAGAAAATTTTATATCCTAATACTACTCTTATTTCAGCGGTCAGGGACATATTAGCTAGTATCATCATAATTTTTCATATCTGCCCACTTTCTCTCTCTCTTTCACACTGATGCAATGTTGGTAGAAGTTCATGCAATGCGGTGATCGATGCTAGATTTTGCTCGAATTTCTTTGTTTATGTTTTCTAAATTTCAATTACTATCTTTTAGAGTTCGAGTCAAATGGGTTTTGAATTGAGATTTCTTTTTTTTTTTTTTTTTTTGAGAAGTGGCTTAGTGTTTTGTGTATTTTTTTTGTTGTTGCTGTAATTATGCTATGATTAAAAAGTAATTACTCTAATTATGGTGTAACTTATGACATGGTTTCCTATATAAATAACATTTTAAGCCATTGAGACTAAATAAAGAGTAATTGGTTGAGTTTGATAAAATTTAAAAATAATTGTTTTATTTCATATTGTTCTCTTTTTATTTATTTTTACATCATTCCATACACGACACTACTTCACACACACATTGGAGGGGAGTTTCACAGTGATATAGTAATTAATAACTCCTGATAGATCAATTAAATAAACTTGAGTACATTTTCTTCAATCGAGATCAATATTTACTCTTATATTAGTTAATACTGTCCGATATTAGCTAATTTTCGACTGTTGAGCTTTGATGGGAATTGAATTAATTCACATATTTTTTGACACAAAAAAATAAAATAAAAATGATTTGGGTTAATTTATAATACCTTGAAAAAATGGTTCCACAGTCACATCTATACTCTCTAGCGCCACATGTCTTGGAATGAGCTTTCCAATCTGACTGAACAGCATACTTCTTTGAACATTTCTCACATTTCCACTTCTTCTCACCATGCTTTCTGGAAAAGTGCTTCTTGATTCCAGTCAAGTCCCCCAGAGCCCTTGATGGGTCATGGTGCACACAACTAGTCTCAGGGCACACATACACTTTCTTCCTTATTATCTCTTTGCTTTCTCTCTGCTTCAGCTTCCACGGCAGATTATGCCCTCTTCTGTGAAGCTGAAGATTCTGATCTCTCTGAAAGCCCTTCTTGCAGATCTCACACACAAATCTGTTTGTTGCCATGAGAGTCTTGGGTGACAAAGCTATCACTTCTGCGTCTGGGTCTGATTCAAATCCATGAAAAATTCAAAACCCAAATGATGAAAATGAAATTATAAGTAAGGGTAACGCAAACAGAAAATTATATTAAAAAAAACTTATATAAAATGATATGCCAAAACTATGAAATTATAAGAACACCAATATCAAATCATTTTGTATAGAAAGTGGGTCTAACTTTTGGTTGGACCCGAATAGCAATACTCTTCTCATAATTAAAGAAAAATGAAAAAATATACAGACTTTGAAATAAGAATACAAGGCACGGGATATTCTGTACCCAAATCTTTTTATCTTATTATTTTAAAACAATCATAGTTATTGAATGTGTCGAGATCCAATATTTTGAGATTCTCACATAATTTAATAACTATGAGCTGAGACAAAAAGACAAATAGATTTGAGGATAGAGGATCGTTGGCCACAATCTAAGAGACCTGGGTTGCCTGGCAAGTTTCTCTTCTTCTTCACTAGTGGTTGAGTTTGAGTTGATGGTGGTGGAGCAGCATATTGATGAGGATAGATAGTGGGAGTTTCAGGTATGTTGGCTGAAGAAGCACTGAATTCAGCAGAGGTAGAAGTCAAATGAGACATGTTCTCTTCCACACCTGAGTTTTGTCGTTGGATTGGCAAACCCTTCATCATCATCTTCTAGATTTGCATCACTGGCATATGGTTCTTAACCTTTTCTGTGTGATAAACATAGATTTAAATATGGCCTGATACCAGACAGTGAGATCTAATTAATGACAAATTCAAAGATTGAAAAAGCTAAAGTGAAAAATAAAATAAACTTGGAGGAGTTGCTGAATTTGAGCTTTGAACTAAATCCTCAGTTGCCTCTTGACGTTTTCTTCATTCTTTGGCATCAACCAAAGAGACAATTTTTGTTTTTTGAAAACAGAAAAAGAAAAGAGAGAGAGAGAGAGAGAGAGAGAGAGAGAGAGAGAGAGAGAGAGAAAAAAGAAAAGAGAGAGAGAGAGAGAGAGAGAGAGAGAGAGAGAGAGAGAGAGAGAGTTTAAGTGAAACTGAACCAGACCCTCCAGTCACTCTTCTTCTTCGTGTTTGAAAAGTTTGCTAATAATAAAACCAAGAAAATCCAAGAATAAGCATACAAATAAAATAAACCCAATTCAGAGAGAGAGAGAGAGAGAGAGAGAGAGATGTGGATGAGATGGGAATCCTCTGTAATTCTGTACCAATCCAAAACCATACTCCAAAGACCACAACTAATCCTACTGCTAACTCTGATGTGCACCTTATGTCTTTTTCTCTGTTTTCTTCCCCACCCCCATAAAAATGGAAGAGGCTTCTCTCTACACCATTACTTGGACATTGTCCAATTGAAGTGTTGTGGACTCACTCTGCCTTCACTTTACCGATCCGAATGGTTCATCTTCTAATACTTGCTAATTAGATTATCGATGCAAATACTCAAGTTGATCAAATGTCAATAGTCTTGTCTTACAAAAATGAATAGACAATATGATTTTAAAAATACTTCATCCAATTTTAAAAATAAACGTGATCCAATCATATGATTACTGATTTTTCAATTAATTTGATTCTTTTGCATAAATAATTTACATGATGGACACTAAAAATAAAAGATTCATATTATCAACATGAATCCCGAGTGAGGCTATAATTTTTCAATTAGATGATTCAATTCAATTACTAGATTAGAGGAAAATCTATCTCTCATTTCTTTGTTTTTTTTTTTTTTTGCTTTTAACAAAGTTTAATTTACGGGCAAAAAAAAAAAAAAAGACTTTTCTTTAATGGCACTACATGTACCTTTCCCTTGGACTAAAGTAAGTGAGAAAAGCAACTATTTTTTTAATAGAGAATTTGATTTGTATATATATGATGTAGACAGAAGGAGAGAGACATAAAGCCAACGAAAAAAAAAAAAAAATTCTATTTTGTTTTTCAATTTTTTTCATCATAGATAGTAGAACCTTTCCCAGCTTTCTACAATATTTACAGGGTTATGATTGATTCATTGATTGAATCCTAAGTGACATGATCATGCCTAAAAGTTCAATTATTCCATTTCTTTCTCTTTCATACTATCCAAGAATAAGCATACAAATAAAATAAACCCAATTCAGAGAGAGAGAGAGAGAGAGAGAGAGAGATGTGGATGAGATGGGAATCCTCTGTAATTCTGTACCAATCCAAAACCATACTCCAAAGACCACAACTAATCCTACTGCTAACTCTGATGTGCACCTTATGTCTTTTTCTCTGTTTTCTTCCCCACCCCCATAAAAATGGAAGAGGCTTCTCTCTACACCATTACTTGGACATTGTCCAATTGAAGTGTTGTGGACTCACTCTGCCTTCACTTTACCGATCCGAATGGTTCATCTTCTAATACTTGCTAATTAGATTATCGATGCAAATACTCAAGTCGATCAGATGTCAATAGTCTTGTCTTACAAAAATGAATAGACAATATGATTTTAAAAATACTTCATCCAATTTTAAAAATAAACGTGATCCAATCATATGATTACTGATTTTTCGATTAATTTGATTCTTTTGCATAAATAATTTACATGATGGACACTAAAAATAAAAGATTCATATTATCAACATGAATCCCGAGTGAGACTATAATTTTTCAATTAGATGATTCAATTCAATTACTAGATTAGAGGAAAATCTATCTCTCATTTCTTTGTATTTTTTTTTGCTTTTAACAAAGTTTAATTTACGGGCAAAAAAAAAAAAAATGACTTTTCTTTAATGGCACTACATGTACCTTTCCCTTGGACTAAAGTAAGTGAGAAAAGCAACTATTTTTTTAAAAGAGAATTTGATTTGTATATATATGATGTAGACAGAAGGAGAGAGACATAAAGCCAACGAAAAAAAAAAAAAAATTCTATTTTGTTTTTCAATTTTTTTCATCATAGATAGTAGAACCTTTCCCAGCTTTCTACAATATTTACAGGGTTATGATTGATTCATTGATTGAATCCTAAGTGACATGATCATGCCTAAAAGTTCAATTATTCCATTTCTTTCTCTTTCATACTTATTTCTGCCCTAATCAATCAAGACTAGAGATCAATTATTACCAACTAAAAGAGATAAATATCTTACATTTTTGCATGATGCTTTAATTTTATTATCACTGCTTAAAAAAAAAAAAAAAAAGCCTACTCCTAAAATTACCATTGATTGTACCAACCTTGTATATAACCGTAATTAAAATTTTTCTTAAGTTGAGACTCAAAACGAATATCGATAAATGACTTAACCCAATAGTTAAATTAACGAATTATACTCATTGGATGATTGATTTTAGTTAAATGATGTATATGTATATATATATTTTTAATGGTAACCAACATATGTAAATTCACTACATAACGTTCAAAGTGATTTGACAACAACAAACACAACAATTTTATTTATTTTGCTTTTTATCTCTCCAAAATGCTATGAATGTCTATATAAGACTTATGTATTGTAGACTATTGGTGTAAAGTGTACATAGTCGAGAAAATTGACAATTGGATATTTTTTCTTAAACCGCGTTCACATTCTTTCTATTTCATACAAAATATTCAACCTATGTTTAGGAAGAGATTAAAAAAAAAAAAGGTCAGTAAAACTTATATAATTACAAATTAATATGGCAGCATTAGATTATTCAATCTTTCTCAAATTAATATTTTACTTTTTAAATGCATCTAAAAGATCAAATGAAATAAAATTTGACTAAAATATGGAGGAAAAAAAAAAAGCTTGAAAACCAAAAATGTAAACTGGGTCTAATAAAATAAAATAAAATTATACTGGAGGCAATTTTATAGTGTAAATGCACTTGTTCGAGTTATTTTAATATGAAGTTGTGTCTCTCTAAAGATTAAAAGGTTAATAAAAAAGTGAAATAAACAAACATTTTTCTTTTGTCATTTTGTTGATTATTCCTCAATTATTTAATTTTGAAATGGGATCTAGCTCGACCCAAGTCTCGGCATGCCCTGCCAGCTCATCTGTGCCTTCTTTTTAAAAAAAAAAATATATAAAAATAATTTAAAAATATGAAGAATGTAAGAAGTGAGGAATTTTTAGTATGTGTGAAATGTACAATAGTTTCTCTACATAAATATGCCTTTGGTTCATTGTATAGAGCATATATGATTTGGGAGTCATTTTGATTTGTTTTATTATTGTAAATGGATTTATCAATAATTTTATAATGTAAATTTATTTTGCAATTATTCATGCAAAACATTAGAATCCTTTCCTTTGTTCCTTGTCCTCCAATCCCAAATCATTTTTCTATCACATGACGTGTTAAATAGTTATTGTTTTTTAATTGAGAGTTTACGCATCATAAAGTGAAAGACGTTTTGAGACATAAAAAATGAGGATAGGGAATCTTGTGCTCAAATTCGGTTGAAATACCAAACAATTTACAAAATTAAGAGTGCGTAAAGTACAATAGAAGAACAATAGTTTGCAACTAAAATCTTAAAAATTGAAATGGTGCTAATTTTATTGAATCATTGCCTTCGCATCATATTTCTTCTTCATTTTAATTTTTTTTGAGGAAGTTCACATCATTTTATTTAAACAAGGTACAAGAATTATATGGGGGTGTACAAGTCCACACTAGAAGAATGGCCAAATTAGAGAAATGAGAAAATTCAAGTTTGAAAATTCACATAAAAACAATATTGAAAATTTTCTGAAATTCAAGTTTGTATACAGAATTGAGAAAGAACAGCCAATTTAGAATAAAAGAGAAAATGAAGGGCTATAGAGTAATTGGAACGCGGAGTCCATCATAGCTTAATTGCACATCAAGACCCTCAGTATCCATCAATTTTATAAGACCTTCATTTACTTTTTCATGATCCATCAGATGCATCATACCTTCACAAAATGGAAAACCACTAATCAAAATAGAATCATTTTTGTGTTTTTTCGTTTTCATTTTTTGTGTTTCTAAAGACAAAAACATTCAAAAGTTTGAAAACACCTAAAATTTTTCATATTGTTTTCACTTTTGTGCAAAAACATATTTTAAGTGATTTCCGAAAAGAGAACAGAAAAATAAAAAATGATATCAAACATAACTTGCTTGATGAACTGTTTTCAAAAACTGTTTTTGAGAAAATTTTCCCAAAACAACCCATTTTGGGGAACACCCAAGAAAGATGTTTTCAAATTTTAGAAACTTGTTTTTGCATAAAAATAAAACGATATGAAAATAATGGATTTCTCAAAGTTTTCATCATATTTTTTGTTTCTAAAAGCACGAAATGTGAAATCACAATTAAAAATCTACATTGCTACTAACAATAATTGATTAGAAAAAATGATAGCAAGTTTTTTCGAACCTCTTCAAAATCTTATTCCTAAATGTGCTGATCATTCCAGAATTGGTCAAGGTGAAAAGGTGTGCAAAATTATATTAAAAAAAATAAAATCGGTTTTCCTTGAAGAAAATAAAGCAACTCTACAAAAGAAGAACAATAACATACCGGTGAAAAGAGTTCGTTTCGGCTGGATTTTTCGAACTTCCTCGAGAGCCTGGCAAGAAAGTAAACACGATTCAAAAATTAATGATGATAAACATTAAAAGATAACGGAGCATACCCTTGGAAGTCCAAAATGTGTTGAAGAAGATCGATCTGGCCTCAATGCATCCTGATAAAAGATTCAACGTGTAAGCCAACAAGAAACAGAGCAATATAATTTATTTTCATGCAAAGAAGGTAGCAATGCTGAGAGAGAGAGAGCCACCATGATAAGAATTTCACAGTCCTTCAAAAGTGGATAAGTTTCTTCAGGTATTTCGCTAACATCACTGCAAAACCAGAAATCGGATTAGCCTTCAATATCCCAGTCAAGAATGAACAAACACAAGCATATATTTAGAGAACCATTACCTAATGTAACAAATATCGCCGAAGCGAAAACCAAGGGAACGATAACCACTTCCGTGCCAGACAGGTAAAGGAGTAATCTGAAAGCACAATAAAAGCAAAAGAATGGGTATCATAGTTTAGTCATATACAATAGTCATTCCTTATTTGACTCCAATGAATAAATATCCTATATTATTTAATTTCCAATGTAATTTGTGCCAGATGAAGAAACACTTCAAATAATTTGTGAAATAATATTAAAAAGTTAAATAGGTATATCACATCTCAACTGCAAATTACAAAGTCAAAAGCATGAAAGGCGAGGTAACATTCTTTTGCATAAATTCATAAATTTGCACACGACTAACGTCTATGAAGTATGGACACGCCAGATTTCATGCCGTGGTGGTGTCTAACACAAGGATACGCCGGGGACATGTACGGAACACGCTGGGTGGCGTGTCCCTTTAATTTAATTATTTTTTTGCAGGGGACACGGCGGGGACAAGCGTGTCTACCAAATCTGGACACGCGTGTCCAAATCTGGACACAAAGAGCAAAAGAGAAGAGTAAAAGTCAAGAGATAAACTTAGACTTCGATCCAGTCAACTTGCCTGTCGACCTCCATGACTTCGACCACCGTAAGCTGTCGACCTCGACCTTGACCTCCATCTAGTCGATTTCAACCATCGTAAGTCTCTCTTCTCTCGCCTTCCCTCTCGCTCGCGTCTCTCGCTCTCTCTCTTGCTCTCATGGATTAATATGTATAATATATATATATATATATATTTAATATTAATAAAATATTTGAGTGTTTACAATAGGTAACAAATTATATATGCACGTATATATATAAATGATACGATTAGGTTAAAAAATAAATTTGTAACTATAAAATCACAAATCAAACTATGCATTCGTTTGTGATATGTGATAGCGTTTTGACTTTTTAACTTTTGTAGCTATTTTAGCTTGGGGTTAAAAAGTCTCATTTGGGATGGGCCTTTTAGACTTTTGTGAGAAAAAAAATAAAATGATTATAGTTTGAATGTGACATTTTACCTTATCAGCTTTTTAGCCTATCTTATTTTTTGTGACTAGTTTAGCTTAAAAAATTCATGCCAAACATAGCCTATAAAGTACAATTCGTCTATATTAAGAGTTCAGACCAAACCATGCAATGAGAAATCAAACCAAACCAAGCAATTTAGTATAATTTGACTGGTTTACAATTTTTTCGATTTTTTTTTTTTTTTTTCTCGAACTTGGCTAAAACAAACAAAATTTGAATTTCTTTTGGTAAAATTTTTATAGGGAAAATTAAGAATATAAGAAACATTTGTGATTTCACTCAAGATTAATTGACAAAAAATAATTGACATGACATCAGGACTATTGCCCCCCTCTTTCTCTTTGTTATTTTACCTTTCTTCTTCATATTTTTCATCACCTCTCTGGGTCCAGTAGATTACGCCATAGGGGCCATAACCACTTTGGTTGAGAGTTTCACATTCCATCAGGAATATTTTCATTTAGTTTATTTATTTTGATTGAATCACGACTAGATTCTACGGTTTCAACTTTGTTGCATAGGATAAGTAACAGAGATAAGCCAATGGTTTCAATTAGGTACTTAGTCCTTGTCCAAAGTTCCACACACAGTTCGAAGCCAAAGATTTGAAACAAAATCATACTTCAATTCTATACAAAAAGTGATAAGATATGGGTCTTCTGACCTTTAGATCATGTACTTGGAATGGCTCTTCATGTATGATCTTAAATTCCAACTCCGAGACTGCAGCACCAGGTATTATAACGCTTGTATCCACTAAATAATAATGAGTTTTCTTCATTACCTGAAATTATTTCAACTACTGTGAAGTTAGATCTGAGAAAAAACTGATCTGGCCAACATATTGACTAATCAATGTGCATTGTATTCTAAAATTGCTTTTAGTGTGTTACATGTAATCATGCATATCAAGAAAAAAAAATAAAAATTAGAAGTATTGTTGGAAAGTCAGCATCTAAAGGTGAATTGCTTTGCTGCCTTAGTTTATCAGCTCCCACTACAAAGTCATACTGGGGTTCATTTGGGAAGTGGCCTTTTTAGTGACTTTTTAATTTTTTTGGTAAAATATGAGGTGAACAAAAACTGAAGTGTTCGGGAATGGTTTTTTGGCCTTTTATGAAAAAATGAGCAAAAAGTAAAAAGAATGAGAAGGAATATTTGACTTTTCTTTATAGCTTTTTGGTATTTTTTGTGGCCCTTTGGATTTTTTAGTGGCCTTTTTTTACTTTTTGGCTAAAATGTTCAATTCCCAAATGGACCAAGCTTCAAATATGCTACCTTACAAAAGAATTCAATGCTAACACGGGTATTTAGGGCTTTACGTAAAAATTTAGTAAATCTACATGTTCCCGATTTAGAATTTGTTAACATAGAAGGGGTGCTGACTCAATAGATTTAACATGCATTCATATGAAATAAAATAAAAGTGATATAGTTTGAATACTTGCAGAGTATTCTTTATGATGAGAAAATTTTAATTTGATGCAAGAAAGGCAGTAGTAGAATTTGGACCTCAAAATCACGTGGTGCTACATAAATTGGAATATGGAGCTGAACATTGTTCGTCCAATCGCGAAGATCATCCAAACCTGAACAAATAGCAAACTTTATGACAAATAATATGTGATTCACTCAGGAAAGAATTGCATTATCATGTCTTCTTAATCATATAAAGAATAACAGCAAAAGGTGTTGTTGCCAGAGACCTCCAATTGCATCAGCATGAGAATGTGTAATAATAACCGCATCAATTGTTCTTATCCTGACAGAAATACAACTAGTTACAAGAAGATAAAAACATGACAATAAATATTAAAAAATATCTACAAGAGAATCTGCAAGAGGACCAACTTCTTGACAACTTTTCCACGGCATTTAATAACAGAAGATCTTCTGGGGTAGGAGTACCAGAGACCTCTAGTCTAATCTTAGAGCCCCTACTCAGCAAAATTCAGTACAGGCAAACGGTAAGACTCCAAAGTTCTAATTGAATTAATTGGATACCAACATTGCATCTATTTCTTATATTGTCGAAAAAAATTCAGTTTCTACTTGGGTGTGTAGAAAATGAACATTCCTAATTGAACCGTGAAGTCCGGAACCAGGAAAAAAACATGTTTGAATAATGGATAAAAAATATAATAGTTAAGACAATATGCATATAGACTCTTACCCATAAGAAGGAAACCATCGTAGAGCACTATGGTAGAAGAACCTGCACCATTATCAAAAGAAAAGATTGTTTAGTAAGTAGCTACCAATTAACCTATGGCCATGACAAAAACATACACATACAGTACAAATGAATGAAAATAAGATTTGAGGATTCTAGCAAAGGAAGAAAAAAATATTAAAGACACTGCAAATAAAGGGCGCACACGATGATGATCTCCACCTACCAGAATCTAGGACTAATACGACTAATACAAGATTGACTTAAGATTTTATTTTCCTTCCCATTTCATAAAAATATACACAAAATTAGGGACAAAAACATCTTTTACTTACTTTCCAGCATCTATAAGAATGTTACATCTTCCAGAGGGCCTAGGATGACTGATAAGGATGCTTGTGTTGAGTCTCTTATTCTTACTGCCTGGTTCCACTGCTTTTGAACACACCTTTAAAAAACCCATGAAGAGATCCATTTCAATTAATTATCGTCATCATGAAAACAATATTAAACTATCAATGCAATACTAATTTCAATCTTTCAGATAACAAATTTGCTTAAGGATAGAGGTTCTGCTAGTATACCGGACATTTCTTTTCAGGATTGGTGAGGCAGCTCACACGTGGAATGCCTTCACTAGTTCCTGTCCCCAAAAATATGATTTCAGGTTGTTCTGCAAGTGTCTGTACACCAGGTTGTGCATCTGCAGACTCTGTAGCTCACAACAAGTCACTGCATAACTCATCCACTAAAAGGGCACAGAAACTTGAAAGTGAAGCCCAACAACATTTGACTAGAAAATCTGCATCAATTTCTATTTCTCACCACTTCCATTGCTCAAATGTGCGAAAGTATCAGATACTATGCCAAGAAAATAACGACAATAAAGCATACTGTAGTGCATTGCACAATAGTTTTTGAAGGGCCAGAGGCCGAAAGAAATAAAAGAAAAGGGAAAATTTTACTTTGCCCCCTCAGACTATTATACTTGTGTCATTTTACCCCTGAAGTGTCAACAGAATTATTATTTGCGGCAGAAAAAAAAAATAAAATAAAGATTGAAACTAGTATCCCCCCCGCCACCCCCAAAAAAAAAAAAATTTGTGATTTAGTTGTTTGCTACAGTTGGTTGTATTTTGTATGTTACTGAATATTTTCTAAACAATTTGTTGTGTTTTGTTTGTAAGGTATTTGTCTATTTGTCTATTTATCTATCTCAGGCAAAGTGAACTAGTATCCTCAATTAATCATGCATGACCCGACGGGTGTGATATTCTGTCAATACACAACCAATTGTTTGGGTTAAAATGAATTGATATCAATAGTTTAAGGGGATAATTATTCAAATTAGTAGTTCAAGGTGTAAAGTGACACAAGTGTAAGAGTTGGAGGGTGCAAAGTGAACTTTTCCCCTAAAAGAAACAAAGAACTTGAATCAAGCAATATTGACCCTTTTCCCAATATTAATGTTCCCAAAGCAACTTTTATTTTTGCAACCATATCAAGTACTGTAGGATTGAATCTTATTAATGGAATAAAGCTATTCATGAGCAGAATCTAAAAAGCGAATCTACTTTAGTAAAAAACATACATTCAATACAAACGATTCATTCTGATTTTGATATATGAATATACCCAAATTCGATATCATACAACAAACCTATTCAAATTAGAAATTGTTTTCATGCATGGAAAGCGATTAAAGACTGAAACTAAACGAATCAAAATAGAATCAGCAAACTACCCAAATTACGGTGGAAAGAAATGCGAGAAAAGGGTAATAGAGAGCTCACTTGATTGAAGACTAGCTTGAAAAATTCGCTTGAATTGAGGAGACCCAAATCTGGAAACAGAGAGTGGGTATAGGGAGAGAGAAGATTGGAGCCTTGAATGGGCGAAACCAATTAGGGACAATGATGAAGGAGTAGGACGAAGTGCGCCCAGAAATAGTACCATTTGGGGAGAGAGAGAGGGAGAGAGAGAGTTTTCAGAGCTTGAACATTGCTAATGGAGTGTTTACAGGGACAACATTTGCTACATATTTATTTGGTTGATCTTTCAACACTTGTAAATTACAAATAGATCGTGAAATTTCTTTAAAGGCTAAATTACAAATACTCCCTGAGATTTTATTAAAATACAAATGCGTCTTATAATTTTGAAAATTATATTTTACCATTAAAATTAATACAAATGCATCTTATAATTTTGAAAATTATATTTCACCATTAAAATTTTTAATGTCATAACAAATCGTTTATTTTATTAATAAATCATCAAATCAATAAATAGTTTTTAATGATGTTAGAAACATGTTTCAATTAATAATTTAGGTAATTTTATTATTGTATAGAAGAATAATTATGAATTTCATTTTTTTAGTTAATTCTGTTAAATAAAATATTCTAACAATGAGATATTTGTAATTTTTTAAATTATAAGGACAATTTATATTTTAAGCAAACCTTATGGATATATTTGTAATTTATTTTTGTTTTGTTTAAAATATAAATTGCATTTATAATTTAAAAAATTATATAAATATTTTATTGTTAGAAAATTTTAAATATATTTTTCAAAATTTGTTTAAAATACATATTGCTCCTTATAATTTGGAAAATGGTAAATTACAAATACACCTTCTGATGTTTGCTTAAAATATATATTGTTTCTTGTGATTTGAAAAATTACAAATACCTCATTGTCAAAATTTTATATTTAACAGAATTAACTAAAAAAATGAAATTCATAATTGCTCTCCTATACAATAATAAAACTACCTAAATTATTAATTGAAACATATTTATAATACATGCTTAAAAACGGTTAATTAACTTCGTGATTATTAGGTGCCGTTTGGTAACACTTACGTTTTCAGTTTTCTTGTTTATATTTACAAAAATTTTAAAAACTCAAATAAAAACTGTTTGGTAAAATTTTTGATTTATAAATCAGTGGTCTTAGTTTATAAATTTGGCCAAAAAATGAAATATAAAAAAATGTGTTTCCGTTTTGAGTTTTGAGTTTTTTTTTTTTTTTTTACCACCCTAGTCCACACCCGTCACCATTTTCCACTACTGTCTTCCGCCACCCACCCATCCCCACCACTACCTGCCACCACCACTCACGACTCACTTGCCCACCACACCACCCACTCACTCACCTGGCCAGATCGGGACC